ACCAGCAGTGGGATCCTGGTCTGATTAAGTTATATTTTAAAAACATACATATTGGTCTAGATGTGTAGCTAAAACCTTCTCTCTTAGTATGGAGTATCTTATAAAGAATCTTCAGCCTATATACTTGTACAATAAATTAAAGTTTTTTACATCTAGTAGATTTGCTGTGAGAGCTGTTCGTCCTGTATTAGTTTCTTATCATCACCGTACGACAGCATTTAGAGGTAATATTAAATTTCAATCCACCAAGTGTTGGAATGATATACCACCACCTCTGAGAGGTCTCACCTCTGTATCGACATTTAAATTAAAATTGAAACACTTACTGGAATTACAAAAAATAATTATTTAACTTTAATTAAATAATAGTAATTTACTACCTTATGACATTATTAATTACAATCTGGTATAACATTAAATCTTAAAACCATCAAAAATGTTACTTCAAATTTGACACCATATTATATTAGCCTGTATTATTCATTGATTTTATAAGTATTATTTACTTTCTGACATTGTTATAACATTGACAACATTTCTTTCGAACATGCTTCCGATCTACATTTTGTTTGTTCTTTCGTTTTACACTCCTTTTCTTTGATTTTGACCCTGCTCATCTCAGCTGGGGTGATGGCTGAATATCAGTGCTTCACCGACATTTCGGTGATTTCAATGCACTGAGCCTAGACCTTTTCTCTCTGCTACACACAGGTACATGTACATGAAAAAATATTAACTAGGAATATCCTAGTTAATATTTTTTCTATTATGACTTTATTTTTTTATTCTCTGTATAATGTGGTTGTGTGATAAATTAATTATCTATCTAGTGTCTAAGATAACGAACATACCACAATACCCAGACCCGAGACATTAAAGAATAGTTCATTTTCTACAGTAACCCGACCAGGAACTGATCCTGAGACCTCAGAGATGGCTGAAACCGTAAAAACTGGTCACTCGAATATGGAGAAGACGGACTCGCACAAGAAGGGTTCCGTACCATCACCCATTAAAAATGTTTAAAAAAATCATGTATATAGTTTTCCATTGAGTTGTTCGAAATTTTCGAGTTGAATGGAATTGGTCGACTATTACTCGTAAACATGTAAAGTTAACTTAAGTGTGATAGGTTTCCCCTAAAAATACGTAACTCAAAGGGATCCATTCATAGATATCTTAAAATCGACACATCAATTTTTTATTATTATTCAGTCCATTACAGAGATTGATGATAAAAAATGCTCCAATATTTGTTTACAAATTTCGAAACACCATTAAAGAACAATTATAGAAAAAGCCTTTTTAAGCCCCAAGATAAAAAAAATTATCCTTCTAATTATCTTAAACGTTTTGAACTGAAGATATAAGGAAGGAATTAATTAATAAAGCTTTTCCTGCTCTTTTAGATGAACTCAGCTGTTTTACATCTTTAGAACCCATTCAAAAGTAGTCTTAAAGATGAATGAATCTTTATTTATAATTTATCAGTGTGATAGTAACCTAATAGTCTGTTTTTCTCTCAATTTGTTTGTCACATGTTCAAATGTATTCAGGGTTTCAACCCCTGAACCGAGTGATTTTGAGAGACCATGGATTGAGTGTAGAATGTCTTTTTTTTACCTTGGATGTCATTTTACGGAGTGAAATAAATATAATAACATCATTAAAAAACATTTATCAGATACAAATTAAGTAGCGATAATTTCTCAACACCTTAAACCGAGGCAATACAGAAAAAATCAATATGGCAACACTCTGACACCGACCTGTTGTACCTGATTTACTAGGCCACGAAACTCGATATGTTTATAAAAAATAAAGTGCCTATGTTTGCTTTACATAAGTATAGTAACGTATACATTTTAAATAAAATATAATAATAAGATAACTAACAACTACTATAGTGCTATGTTGCAACAAATTCGGAATAATTATTAAATTAAAAGATTAATTTTGCAAAATAAATGTATATATGTAGTTAAAGTTTTATAATAACAACAATAACAGTAAGCAATAAAGAATCGGCCAAGCGAGTCGGACTTGCGCCCAAAGAGTTCCGTATAGAAAACGAGCAAAAAAAATAGGTTTTTGTGTATAATAGTCCCCTTAAATACTGCTTTTATTCAATTTCTTGTTGTTTTTGGCTACAGAAATTCATCATGTGTGAAAATCTCAACAGTCTAGCAATCAAGGTTCATGAGATATAACCTGGTGACAGACCGACAGACAGCAAAGTCTTAATAATAGGGTCCCAGTTTTACCCTTTGGGTACGGAATGCTAAAAACTGACACAAATTTATATTAAATAAACATAAAAATACTTAAATAAAGAGAATGGCAATGCTGTCATCGATAATCAAAACTACTACGCGATTGTTTAAAAAGTAAAAAAAGGGTCCATAACATCAATAAAAGAATAATACAAAAGCAATGAAACCGTATAAGATATGTTTCATTTATGGACAGTGCGCGTGAAATACAGAAATCAATATAACAAAAAAAAATGTTACCCATTTCAGCCCTGCCTACATCGCCGCCTCTTTTGAAGACGGACAAAGATAGGTACGAGCCTGGGGAGAAGCTACATGCAAACTGTACTTCAGCTCCAAGCAGGCCAGCTGCTAATCTCACTATCAAAATCAATGACGAACCTGTAAGTATACTGGAAACTTATAAATAAGCGAAATTGGAAATACATAGAAGCTGAGGCAGACCTAGACTCATTTTTCTTTCTGGGTGTGGTCGACCATACTAACAGTGAGTTAAGTTAAAATTATATCCACGTACCTAATTTGTAGAACAAGGCACTTGTGCCGTAACGTTCCTTTTTTGTTTAACTCTTTTTTTTATCAAGGAAATGTAACTCATGGAAAGATAGTATCTTTTGGCACTTGATCCCTTCTCCAGATTCATTGAAGCTCAAACCTTCCTTAGGAAAATAGGAAGAAAGGGCCATAGCTTGGTCCAGTGCTAATTAATGATGCCGATGGAATTGGCAAAGATGAACGTCCATTTAGGCTATCTAATATCATGTTATGTCTAGTAGTGGAGCAGCTATGAAAATGTTGCAAAAACGGGAGAATATTTTATTTATTGAGAGCTTTCCCTGAAAGAAAGTTACGTAAAAATCATGTAAAATTGATCCTCTTTAAAAAGAAAGCCCGCTACAGCATATGTCTATCTTATATCCTACCCCGAAAAAAAAGCACATAAAAGGTATAAAAATGGGAGTAGGAGGGCGTTAAATCGTTGTTTACAATTCAATTTGTCATTGTAATGAGATTCCATGCACTCCTTTTTCAAATTCATTTTTAAGTGATTTAAGCTGTTTACACAAGATTAAATAATGTTTTGAATAATTCAAATCGGTACAATCGTTGTCGCTAATACATTTATATACATATGTTATGTTGGTTAAGTACACGAAAATGTTACATTTAGCTGACGCTACTGATCTCTAATTGACGTTACTGTACTTTTAAAACGGGATTTTGATTTTAAAATGTTTGAATTTTCCGATTTTTATCAAAGTTGATTTCATTTTAATTTTTGCAGTTTTTAGTTTTCCGTAATCAACTAGGAATATAGTTTTGTCATGTCTTTGTCTCTCCATCGGTCTGCGGTATAGCTCAAAACCAATTGGTATAAAAAAAATCCTATTTTAGCATGAACATACACGCTAATCGCACCGAGAAAATGGTAAAATAAAATCTTAAAAAAACTTTCCTTTTTCGGTTACCTCCCCTACATGTAATTTTTTCTATCTTTCCATAGCAACCATACATTTTTGGATAGGTCTTTCAAAAATATTAGGGATGTGGGAAGACCGTTTTTCGACTTGTTAACCGTTCGCGACTTCAAACAAGTGCGACAAGTGCCAATTTTCGTTAGAGTCAAATGTCCTCCCCCTCTACCAACTAAACGGTTGTTGTTAGAAACTTGGTGTCACGTACTAAAATCTCTGAAAATGCTGAATTGAGAAAGCAAGAACAAACTGATCATAAAGTTGCTATGAGGATCAGTCGTACAATCTTGTACAAGCAAAGCATCAGGCTGTTTAAGCCCTTTAAATGTAAGTCTTTATCTGAAAGTCCAGAACAAGCACAGTAGTTAAATATTTAGATCCAAGTAAAATTACGGTGTGATTATTAAAAGATTTCAATAAAAGGACTATTTTTCAAACAAAACCTTTGTACTGTGCATAAACATAAAAAGAAGAGCAACTGGACTATTCTATGAAGACATGCGTGCTATTCAATGAAACACCGTTAGATTTTTACGATTGGTTCTATTTATTGCCTATAATAATAACGATATAAAGTGTATGATGCTCATTGGAATATTTTTTAAAATTAAGGTTAGCTTAAGACTCCAGTATAGCAGGTCACTGCGCACAGAATACCCTCTGGCCACATGGGTGAAGCCATGGGTTATAGCTAGTTTAAGGTCATTTTTTGTTTCAAATACTACATAATGGATATCAAATTAAAGTGCTCGATACAAGGATTCCAAAAAGTTATATCATGTAATAATAGGGGTTAAAGTATGAAATTGCCGATTTGTACTGAAAATCAAGATATTCTATTTCTATCTCATTTTGAAACTCACGTCACTTATGCCAAGAAATATTATTACTAATTTAAGATCGAGCTGATGACGCTTTTTGAAGTGAATTCAGACACCTGAGTGAATTCGGGCTTGGATTTTTACAGAATTGCAGGGCTGGAAAGACTGGGATAAGATAAAAAAAAATATTCAAAATCAAACATAACATGCAGTCGGAGGCATGCACAAAGAGAGAATGATTTGACTTATTAATCAATTTCATAATTCGAGTTTGACCATTCCAAGACAAATATTGACTAAATTGAACGTTTATAGAAAATCAATTTTATTATTTGTAATATAAAATTTTAATATATATAATAAAAGGTCTACAAATTGCGACCGCCCCTTGTACGCTCTGAACAATTGCTTTGCAGATCCGGTCGTCGGAGATGAGCTTGCACCCGTCAGAGAGCGGGCTGCTATGGCGGAGTGTCAGCGCGGAGCTGCCCGTGACCGCGGAGATGTTCGTGGGCGGGCGGCTGCGGGTGGCGTGCGCGGCCACCGTGCACCATCTCTACGACCAACGCGACACGTTGGACTTCTTCACGCCAGACACCGACCCGCGCCCAGAGAGAAGTAAGTAATACTTAAGACAAAAGCTTCTTAACCGATAATCCACGCACTGTTGGTCTCTGGAAGCAAAAATGTACCTATAATAATAATAGTTAAATTCTAGACTTATTGAGCCAAGTCCATGACTTTTTTTATATTGGAGACGGAAACTGATAGCCCACGCAACTTAAGTCTTTACTAGGGGGTCTGGTATGCATTGGCAAATTAAAAAACCTCTTAATGACTAAAAAATTAAAACCATTGCTGTAGAGTGTACGTAAACGAAAAACTATTAACACTCTTTAGTACCGTACTAAGGAATATCGTCCAAAAAATTGTGACTAAAAATTACTAACCCAGTAATATATGTAGTAGTAGCTATAATGGTCTTTCCTAACGCCATGTAAATCGTTTCAAAGAATTGCGTGACATTACTTTTTTCAAATATATGCGTATCGCACGCAACTTCTTTAGTATTATAAAACCAATGCACAATGTTTACGTAGATGTTTACGCGTGAAACAACTTGTGAAATTATTGCAATACAACTAGTTTCGGGATAACTCACGGCACTAACGTCCTTACCATTCACGTTTTGTATGACTTCCTAACACATACAAATGCAATTTTATAACTTACCGATGGTAAAATAGCAAAATACAAAAGAAAATGTGTGAAATTCATTGTGACACTTTTATTTTTGCACAGAACATCTAAACAATTTGGCATTTTAAAAAAATACGAATATCTTGCGCGTAAGCAAAATCAACTTCCAATTGGGCAGTCGCTTTTTGTTGTTACTATTTTGCCCTGCGGTTTTGCTCATGATGTTATGTCATCGGGCTCACTTTATCGCCCACTCTATTTTAGATAAATATCGTTTTCGTTTGTTATTTTTAATTCTTAATTAAGTTATAGCCTTTTTCATCCACATAATATGATGTAAACCAATATATAAATCTTTTCTCTTTATAATATTTCTTAGATTCAATATATTAATTTTTGTATCTATTTTATTACAGTCACTCTAAACGGAGGGGCTTCAAAAACATTCCAAAGTTGGATACTCCTGTTTCTTCTGTTCCTATTGCCTATGATGGCAATGGGCCAGAACTATGACTTCGAGAGCTTCGACTACAACTCCGTGTACGACGAGGAGAACCATCACAATATCGGCCTCTCCCTCGTAGGTGGTTGAACACGTAAAATTAATTCATTGACTCTCACGGCGTACGAATTTAGTCTGTGAAATTCTAGTTAGTAAGGTTATTTTTTAAATGTAAAAGATTAATTATATTTTGGAATTGTCAACGTGAGAAGTAGACAAGGATGCAAAGTTAATGACATTGAGTGAACTAAAAAAAGTATAGTAAAGGTTTTAGACCAATGATGAACAATTTTTGAGATCAGTGTGAAATCGCAATGCTACTGATATATGAAATGTCAACCTATATGGAAGTTTTTGGCGGCTTAAAGCCGACTATTATATTCTCCACGCAAAGTAATAAATACTTTATTCTTACATCAATAATAGTCAAATTTGTATTAAAATACGTTAACTCTTGCCTCGTCATTTCATGTCCTATCCATCTTAGGTCCTTTTACATTTAAAATACGCCGTGGCTGACGACGAAAGATGAAATGTGATTAACAACAGACGAATTTTCATATAAGTTGGAGAAAATCTCTGGGAAGTAGCATTAGAAGAACTTTTAAGTATTGGAGACTAGATGGGGATTGTAGTACATAGCTTTGTATATTTTTGTTGTTATCGTTTTCTTTTAAGTTTCATTGAACATTATGACAGACAATAGTTTACCGAGCCTCCTTCTTAACTCAAGTACTCTAAATGTAGACGAATCATTCATTACTATCCAATCAGATACAATATCTTTGTAATATCTTTGTACACCATCGTGTTTGAGATATTTTAATTTAAAGTTGTTAAGATGTTGTAAACGTTTAAAGAGTAAATTGGGTGTTTTAATGGGTATGAATAAAATGAATGTTTGTCGATTTAGTGCACCATAGTACTTTTTGTTTCTATTAATATATAGTATTAATATTCTTCACTAGCTGATAGCAGAGCAATCAAAACCGAAGGAGGCGGATGCATCGAATTCTCTTTAGAAATTGCAAACGGGGATTTTATAAATCTGATGACCTGCTAAAGTTCATGAGAAAAATTATAAAATTCGTTTTCTTCGCCTTCTTCCCGATTGATGTGTCTTAAAACGTTTTGGTAAATTGGTAACCATTGGATCTACATATAAATATTAATTATATAGTATAAATTCTATAAGGATTGCAAGATATTGACGAATGTGAATATGTGAGATTAAAATGATAAATCAGTTGACAATTTCAAAATTAATTATAACACGAATGGAAATTACATTACAGATTGTTAAATTTGATATTTATTAAGATATTGCAGCACAAATTTTTTATGGTTGTAAAGCAAATTGAGTGTTACTTTTAGCTTTTTGGTAAAATTGCTGGTCTATTTTTTATTTTACATATCTCATGTGAAAGTATACTGTGTTAGGATTGGGTAAACAGTGCAATGAATTTATATAGGTTCAAAATACAATATTTATGTGTTTTTATCTATCTTTTTCATTTTATTTATGTGTTTTGTGAATAGTTCTCAGATTATAATGTTGGCATTTCGTTGGTAAGAGCTAGCTTGTTCTTGATTACATACACACATTAACATCGTCTAGAGATATTCTGTATAAAGTTCTAAATTCAAAAGATACTGGCCGGTTTTAAAATATTTTGATGAAAACTTATTTTGTACGCCTTTTTTGATGATTCCAAATTTGAATTAAAAAATAATCATTTCAAACAAAAGATTTGCGCGGCATAATTCAAGCGAAGTTTGAAGTTATCAATTTACCTATCATAGTTTTTGAAGACTTTTTGTGTTAATCGAAAGGTTTAAAACAAGTTAGCTGTTTTAATTGAATTTGTGCTACTGTATGCATTATACAGCGAAGCCATTTAACAAGAGAGGAAATGTTAAATAATTAAAATATCCCTAGACGATGTTGATGTGTGTAATTATTGCTGTTTGTAATTACACGAATATTCAAGTCACAAGTCAAGTGTCAAAGTGAATAGGTTTTCTGTTAAATTAAAACTTATAATAAAATTCGGTGACCACTGTGCCTCAGGTTACTGCAAAATACCAAAATTCTGCAATCAAATTTATAAAATAGCTTCGAGAAATGTAGCATTTATTACACGATTGTGCTATAATACCAATAACTTTATTTATAATGGGCTCACTCTTGACCTCGATCTAGCCCAAAAACAGATGAGACTAGTTTGCCCAAAAAGAACTTATTTACTGTTTCCTTAATTAGATCTGGGTTATATGCAGTTTTTGTGCTTTTCTCAATTCAGAAACCAGCCATATATCTATGTATAGACCCTGTAGAGAAAACAAAAGCAGTTTTTGATAATTCTGTTTTTTTGTAACTACCTAGTTGTTATATTTTTATAGCGTAGTTATTACAATCGCATAATATTACTTACGGTCAGTTACACAAACATCCATTAAAATTTAATGACGCCTTTAAGCTCTAATCAACGTGAAAATTTGTATCGGTAATGTCGCTTTAATTAAAGTAATGACAAATTTTAATGGACCTGTGTACAACTGGCTGTTTGTCTATTCTATCTAGGCTTATTAATGATTTTTATTTTACAAAATTTCAAGTTAAAAAAAAAATAACAATATCAAAAAATTATCAATGAATTCGGATGTTTTAGATTTTTTTTTCAGCCATTTGTATTCGTAGTGGGTAGGGGAGACCTAGGAGAGTTGTGACAATTTTTACGTAAGGGGCTCTATCTCGCTTAAGAAACATTCCACAGTTATGACTCATGTGAATTAGTTTAGCGCCATTCCTTCTGTTTTTAAAACCATCACTAAAATTAATTAAAGTATAATAGTTTCTGAAAAAAATAACAAAATTCAAGTCCACTCCCCTTGTCACAACTCTCCTACCACCGAGGTAAGTTGTGACAGGTACCGAGGTAAGTTGTGACATCATTGTATTTAAGCTATAAGATATAAAAATACCATTACATACGACATAAATAAATCAAGCACGTTTTTTTTTATAAATCAGTACTTTAATCAGTACTATAATAATAAATTTGGCTTGGAAAACACACACTGAACATGTTTGCAAAAAGTTGTCCCAGTATTCTTGTGCACTGTACAAACTTAGTAGGATCGCGAATCAGTGCACGGTCCTTACAGCTTATCACGCGTACGTAGTTTCTACTGTTCGATACGGTTATATGTTATGATTATATTTTGGGGATATTCGACTGATTCTGTAACTGCCTTTAAAGCCCAGAAAAAATGTGTTAAGAGCATATTTTATTAAACTAAATATTATGACCCTGCCATCAATCTATATATTCGAAGTTGGTATTTTTGTCAAACAGGATCAACAACTATTTGAAAATAAGACGAGATTGCATCATCGAGACAAATTGTGTACGATACCCTCTAAGACAGCTCAGTTGAACAAAAGTATCTTTTGTATGGCTCCAAAAATTTTTGATAAAATTCCAAAAACAATACGTAATCTGGATAATTGTAATGTTTTTAAAAGAAAACTTTATAAATTATTAGTAGCTAAAACATATTATAGTGTAAACGAGTATCTAGCTGACAGTACTTTGTAAATGTAAAATACTTATTGAATTAGTTGAATTTTTGACATAATATGTTATTGATTAGATTAGTTGACAATTACTAACCTACAAATATTGTATGCTTTTTAGGCAGATCACGGTGTAACTATTCAGTCCTTGCATCCAATATCTTTATATAACCTGCGATCAATAATAAAGATTGATTTGATTTGATTAATCATCTTTTAATACCTACCAACTAAAACAACATAGTATTAATATTAATACTACAATAATATATTGATCTCAAAGCGATACAATATTTAGTTAATGAAAATATTATAATTACTTGTTATGAGAATATTCTCATCAGTATAAAATCTTAATCTAATCAGATTCACATTTATGCCAAACGTAATGAAGTTCGTCCCCAGTACAATCTAACTGTGCCTAGCCTTTGCATTCCAGGCTTTGGACCCACTGATCATTCGATCTGCTGTCTGCATAGGCTTCAAGGCAAACCAAATAAAAGCAATTATTTTCTACATCTTCTTCATCACTTGTTCTATTCTTCTTATTAGTCTTCTTTGCTTTTTTAGGTTTCTTTTTTTTTTCTTCGCTTAAGACACGCTTCTTAACATTCTTAGATTTTCAGTCTCTCGTGTATAGTTATTTGGTATTCTCAAAAAAATAAGTATGCGGTATGCCATTATACACCTTAAGTAGCTACTAACATACAAACAAACATCTAAAGTTAATAAAAAATAATGTAAAAATAGCCCAGCAGAAATTTGGAGTAAGTTAGGAGAGTTGTGACAGGCTGTCACAACTCTCCTAGGTGTTCAAAATGACGTCTTGGTCCGAATAATAATTCATATTTTCTAAACACGATGCGCATACAAAAAATCAGTGCCACGTATTGAGACTTAAATAACTACATAACTTAAGAAAAAATAACACATCAATGCACATATACTAAGATATGATATATATTCAAATAATGTTTTGAAGAAAAACTTACTTTTCGTAATTTTTTGTACACTGACGATATATTTACGCAACTGTGCCATATGCACCGTCGACAGGTACTGAGTCGTGTAGCGCGTGTCGAGAACGACAAACAAGCGTTAATGCCATCTCGCTTACTATAATACGTAGAGAGAAATCGTCCTTGTCACAACTCACCTCTGTCACAACTCACCTAGGTCTCCCCTACTGTGTGTAACTAACTGAGGTAGAGCTGCCTTTTTCTTGCCCTTTTCATTTATATGAAAAATGGAGCAGAGAATGTCAGATATACCAGATTGATTACTTCTATTTGTGTTCAGGAAATGTAATATTATGCTTATCAATGTAAAATGAAACGTGGAATATTTGAAATTTATTATATGATTAATTTAAAAGGCCAAATTTATGCAATGAGGAAGTATTTTAAAAAAAAGAAAAGACTAAAAAAGCACCTCCACTAGATGGCGAGTCTAGCAAAAGTTGATTTTTGCAGGAAACGAATGGACTAAAGACTGTCATTTCCATTCCTTT